AAACCAGTCCAGCATAAGCCATATTCTCTACTATACCAGTGGAAACTACTACTTTACCTATACACAAATATACATTAATTAATATTCACTGCATGTTGGTGTACTTACTAGTAAAATCTGAACTAATCTCAGTACAAGGTATTGGAGCAGTTTCTTCTTCATGCTGTGGTTCTTCATGATCCTTTGACTCTTCTACTCTTTCATTATCTTGCTCTTCATTCCCTTCCTCATGTAATGGCTGACCTCCAATCTCCTCCTCTTCCTCTACTCCCTCATTACTAGTAGACTCTCCTATATAGTGGAATAGATTCAGTTCATTATATACACTAGTACACACTCACTCACTCATTACTCACCTTGTTCTCCACTCCTACCTCCTGGTGGATCTTTAGTCTTATCAGAATCACTGGATGAATCACTATTACCATCTTCCACTTCCTCCTCAGTTTTCTCTTCTGCTTGTTCCTCTTGCTCCTCCTCCTCTTCCTCTGACTCGTCTCCATTAGCTGATGATTTTGGTAGACGTTTCTCCCCAACAATAGATACCAAACAGAACTCTTTACGTTGAATGGATCCATACCAACTATCAGCTTTAAACTCTCCTCCCTTAACTAGGGAGAATTGGTAAGGAAGACTGGGTGTGCTCACGGGAGCTATGGCAAACTTGAGATGGCGACTAAGAGCTGGTCGTCCTGTTAAATCAATGCAGTGCTGTATTTCTAATATGAGCCGTTTGAGGAGAGGCTTTGAGAGTGATACTGCATACACAGCACTCACTAGGACAGTATTAGGAGGAAACTGGAACTCTCCTCCTACAAGAGCAACCACTGCTGCTTCTACTGTCTCAGAGGACAGTAAGCTCTCCTTTTGTACTCCAATCCTTAGACCATATTTCTCCCAATTCATCAGTTGAGGTTTGTCTCCTTGAATTAAGAACAGCTTCCTCTCTGCTACCTGGACATCACTCAGACAATCCAATTTATCTGTTAATTATACAAAATATATACAGTGAGTACACACACAATTGTATAAAATAGATACATTTAGTCAGTCACACAATAATACATGTATTCTTACCCATTGAAGGGATCAGGTAATTAAATTGTAGTCCAATGGAACTAGTCACTTTGCTTCTCTCTTGTCTTTCCTTCACTAGTTTGGCTATGTGCAAGTCCTTTTCTTTAAGGTCTATAAATTAATAGAATATTAATAACTATTATTGATTGATGATGATACACTAACCAGTAATGATCTGTTTTTCATTCGATGTCAGTTTAGCTATAACTTTATCTTTCTCAGAAATGTCAGTTTTGAGATTTTGATTGTCGTCTACGCAATAAACATATTCTCTCATCTAATACATGCTGTGTGTATAGTTAACTAACCAATAATGATCTGTTTCTCTTTGAGATATTGTTCCTCCTTCTCCTCCATATCAGCAATCTTGAGTTTCAGTTTCTCATTATCCTCTATACATTAATAGAATATTCTCTCATCTAATATTATGCACTGATGATACACTAACCAGTAATAATCTGTTTCTCTTCAATCAACTTTTCCTGTTCTAGTGTCATCTCTTCTAATACACTGCTCATAATATCATTACTATCATCACCTTTAACTGAATAATAATATAAAAGAAGAGAGTAATCAGTATATGCATAATAACACAACAGAATATACAGATAATATATACACACCAAAGACTGGTTCAACCAATGTACAAACCATTAGATAATCATATTCAATATTATTTCTAGCTTATACAAATTTGCACTGCATGTACAGTAGCCCATAAATACATGTACTATGATTATTGCTAATCATACCATATATGGTAAGCAGAGCTCACTCTACATGAATCTCATTCTTTCTAATGCATGGACAATTTGACCTATATTGAGTACAGGATACAATTTCCATACCCAACATTGTCTAATCCACTAGTATCATAATGTAAACCAGTACTAATACACACACTCACACTACCAATAACCACACAATACTACATAATAGTAATCAGTTAGTACAGTTAAAGTGTGTGTGTGTGTAGTATCCTATATACCTTGTTTATTGGCCTCAACCAGTGCCTCCTGTAGTGATACTTTGCTCTCATGAGCCACTTGTAGGTCTTCATGTAAAGATTGTATATATCTCTGAAGCTTCATTTCCCTCTCTGTCGGATATTCTATTAGCTGATCCATCCACCATGTTCTGGTCTTGCTGTATGATTGATACTTTTCTTGATAGTTCTTACTAGTGAGATCATTAGCATCCAGTACTGACTGTACTATCCACTCACCAGCTTCACTATATACTGAGAGACAATAAGATACATTATATATTTATAAATAAATGTATTTAATTTATAAACTAATGGTATCATTTATAGTGGTTGTAAATACACACCCACACATACAGTGATGGTATTGTAGTGTGTACAGTATACAAAATGAATGGAAAATGTACGTCATATTAGGAACTGAAATTTACAAATAATGTACATACTATAAAAATGAGTGGTACATTATTTAATGTAATTATGTATTTAATGCTCATATCCATACAATTGATTAATATTATCTTACCTAATTCAATTATCATTATTAGTCTATTAGTATCAATGATAAATGTATTCATTGGCACCTTCTTTCCTCCTCCAACATCTTCCAATTCAAACTCTTCAAATCCTCCAACAATTACTAGACACACACAGTGTGGTGACATTGTGACTGCTGTGAGTGAGTGAGCGTATCTACTAGTAACAGACTCAGGTAGAGGAATCTGTAGATAAAGAGAAGTATACAAATAATTACTGATACATGATGTTTATACAGTTACTTATAAAAATGAGAAATTGTATCATTTCATATGTAGGTGATTGTTACATTTATTGTAATTGTAAAATCAATTCTAATCCTCACCATCAACAAACAAAATAAACATTTTATTTCACATCATGTAAAGAATAACAAAATATGCACAAATTTAACTCTCAATATTAAGAATAGGAAATGTGTTAATAGTACACACACACACACACACACACACACACACACACACGAAAATTAATTAATGATTTAATACCCACCTACATGTACATGAATATTTAAGTACCAATTAAACGAGAGCACTAAAGTGCATACCCTCGACACAATCTGTATGTAACAGTTTCAATAAATTAAGAGAAAATAATTGGTGAAAGTTTTGAGACAGAGAAGAAGCTTCAGCATGTACTAGATTTATTAAAACTTAGTGAATGTTTTGAGACAGACAGAGAATTTTTTGTTTTTTTTAGACAAAGAGCTCCAGCATATTTGCTGCACTGCTGCTAGCTAGCTGCAGCAATGTAAAGGTGTGGCTGCAATGAAGGTGTGGCTCAATCAAGCCATGCTCCACCCCCACACACAGTAAATGGTGGCACATGGTCCTATGTGGCGAAGAAAGATTTGGTTTTTCTCGACTTTTAAACAGTTTAGCATACATTTGTTAGGCTCTATTTGTTGCATACAAACTGCTATCTAGTCCCTAATGTTAAAAGACTCTAGCCGCTACCTCGGAAGAAGAGAGCCTCGTCTAAACTCAAAAGGTATGAAAGTTTGGGCTATCATATCTTTAAAACGAAGACGTTTGGAACAATTTCTCTCATATTAATGAAAGATGAGGTTTTGCTTTATTGTTTTATCTGCCCTGTTGCTCTTTTGCTTTCACTACGAAAGAGCTGCAGGAGAGCCGACTACGTTTGGCGACTTTGCCAGCTTCTTTTACCACGGAAAAGACAAATCAAGGATTCCCAAGACGGAGAATAACTTTTTCTAGAGCCAGTGTTGATTATAAGACTCTCCAGGACAAGACAAGAAAGCAGTGTCAGCTCAAACAGTCGGGCAGCCAAGCAACCGGAAGTCCATATAAATTGTGTATAAACCTATTTCTCGTTCATTGAGCAACTGCGTGGGTGGTGGCGTACATAGATACATGAAAACTTGGACAGAATCAGAGAACTATCACAGCAATGGACTTGCCACAATGAGAGATAAAGTGCTTGATCAATAGAGTACATCATTTATGAAAACAGCAAAGCTATGCTGTTTTATGGGGAACTTACAGCTAATTTTGAACACAATAATTCTATTCCTTAGAAAAATTTTCCCTCACAAGGAATACTTGTAAGACAACAATTACCTTGTAAAGACACCTTTTAAGTACCACATACCAAAATTTCATGATTGCACTCCAAAGAATACTGAAGTTACAATTTTTTTATTGTTAAGTATAATTAAATTAATTAAAATTTATTATAAAAATTGTAATAAATCATGATATCTTTATCCGGGAAGAAAATAATTGGGATCAAAGTCTATATCCTCACAATAACCTTCATCTATAATGCCAAAATAGGCAACCAGATACTTAACACAGTTCATGTGAGTACAAATATAAACGAAAATTGCGGCTCTCATGAAATCTCAAGATATCTTCCAAATACAGATATAAAGAAGTTGAAAACCACTGCAATAGCTACAATTTACATATATATCAAGAATTACAAGCTATACTCATGGATACAACAATGCTAAACACACACAAACACATAGCTAGGCTACTTGCTGGGACCTTTAATACCTTAGAAAAATTTTCCCTTTTCTCCTAGAGCAATGAAACTTTTGCAGAATAACAGGCATATATAATACTAATAAGCTACTTTGTAAGTGTGATTGCATTCACTCTATTTTACAAGTTATAGAATTTAGTATGATTTTTGTGTCAGCCATTTTAAATCCTTACAGTGGAAACAAGCACCTGAAACACGAACAGTTCTTGATTATAAATGTAGAAGATCAGTTAGCTACATCTTTATCCAATGCTAAAGGTGCAGAGAACAGCAAAGTAACTGTAGACTTCTTAGCTTTGACATAAACAATCAAAATAGGCAAGTGGCACTACCACACTAAAAGTCAGCCATTTTGAGAAAAACGTCACTTCCGGTCAGAAATAAGAAATCAGCCTTGGCTGCCCGACTGCAAAGGTGGAGGTCAAAGCGAACACAGACAGGACGACTGGTTTACCCTCGACTACGCCTACGCGGTCTCGGGGAACAAGCATGGCAGCATCTAATTGTGTGATGGCAGTAAAGAAAGACAGCATTCCCTGTAAGTCATGTATTTTAAAACAATTTATAATCACATGTCCAGCAATGAGTGGTCGCGGATTAGTATACTGAGCAATTATCTCCGTATACTACTGGTTGACTTTATACAGGGCAGGAATGGACATTTCCATTTACTAGGCTATATCTTTCTTCAGAATAAGTCTCATCAATTTGCGCACTTCAGTAGTTGTTCTCCATAATTATACCTGTGTTCCTGCTAAATATGACAGCACTTGGAGTAACTTTGTGTGGAACATTTGCAGATTACCGATGAGGGCAGTCAGTGCCGCCATTTTGTCATTCCTTTATGTATGTATGATAATTTTTTTACTTTTTGAATGGTTATATCTAAATTTCAAACAATTTTTGACAAATTGCGCACTTATTTTGTGAAAGTACAACATTTTTACTGCCCAATCATGCAAAAAAGATAAAGAAATTCAAAACTTTGTTCGGTACTTTAGTCTTCTAAAGGTGAAATAATTTTAGTTGTCTCAGTGATAACGGGTGCAGCAACAAGAGTGAACGAGTGCTTTTCTCTTCTCACGGGAATAATAAAGTAAAACTAAGAGTGCTTAACAGCTATACAAGCAAATCATGTCTCTAGATCCTTTTAAAGTAATAACAAGAAGGCCTTTTGTTAGTGGATGAGTCTTCTTGCGCCACGCCTGCCACTTTAACAATAGAATATGAAAAAACTACCATAACCAATTGCATTAAGTAGCATTCAAGAAGCTCCAAGTATCTAGTGAGGTCCCATCCATGAACCAGAAAGACGTTAGCAGGCTTTGTATGAAGCGTCCTATCAATCCACCATTGCTGAGCTGCCGTTGCTATGGTAATTCCAATGAATATCATTAAATCAATGCGACCGGAAGTCCCATTGCAATAGCTGGACATGAAAAATTAACTCTATATAAACCGTCCTTTATATGTAACATAAACTATAACTGTGTGCATATAGGAGTAGTTAGCATAGAGTTCAGTTACACAAACACCTTATCAGTTAAACCAATAGCTGAGTGAGGCTCAGACAGTGCGGGGAGAGTTGGGGCCCCATAAAAGATCTTTAACCCGCCATTTCTGGTTCTCAAGGCCAGACTGTCTGTCCCTTGCCCAGTAAGCATAATTTTAAATAGAAGGGAAACCCCATACTCTGTTAATTTCGACTCTTAAGTCAATGGATGTGTTGAGCTTTGAAGATGCCAGTACTTTCAATCGAGGTGCAAGCCCAGCGCTAGGCTACGGTTTAACGGTTATGGTAGCTGGGTCCTGA